GATAGATAGATAGATAGATAGATAGATAGATAGATAGATAGATAGATCCACCTGGAAAGTCAAAACAGACAAGATTGCCTAACATAATTGAGAACATGGGGATAGGGGGAGAAGAGAGGGTGAGAGAGGAAGAGAAGGAAAGAAGGGGAGGGGTGAGGAGAACTTGAGGGAATGGGATAGTTGAGATGGAGGAAGGATAGAGATGAGAGCAAAGAAAGAGATATTGTGATTGAGGGAGCCATTATGGGACTAGCAAGAAACCTGGCTCTAGAGAAATTTCCAGGAATCCACAAGAATAATCCCAGCTAAGACCCTAAGCAATAGAGGAGAGGGTGCCCGAACTGGCCTTGCCCTGTAGTCAGACTGATGAACATTTTAAATACTACCGTAGAACCTTCATCCAGCAACTAATAGTAACAAAGGCAGAGACCTGTATCAGAGCACTTGACTGAGTCCCCAAAGTCCAGTTGAAGAGTGGGAGGAATGAGATTATGAGCAAAGAGGTCAAGACCATGAAGGGGACACCCACTGAAACAGTCTACCTGAGCTATTGGGAGCTCACAAACACCAGTCGGACTGGGAAGGAACAAGTATAGGACCAAACTAGTTCCTCTAAATGTGGTTGACAGTTGCATGGCTGAGGCAGACTGAGGGGCCACTGGCAGTGGCACCAGTATTTATTCCTACTGCTTGTACTGGCTTTTTAGGAAACTATTCTCTTTGCATGGATACCTTGCTCAGCCTAGATATAGTAGGAAGGGCCTTGGATATTCCCCAAAGCAATGTGCCTTACCCTCTCTGAGAAATAGATGGTGGGGGGTGTGTGTGTGGAGGGAATGGAAGGAGGAGAGGGAGTGGGAACTTGTATTGCTATGCATAATGAAAAAAGATAGTCTGTTTTCTTTAAAAAAAATAAAAAGGAAAGAATAAAAAGGAACACAGGAATGGGTGCTTAGGAGGTTTGTGTGTTGTTTTTATATATAATTAGAAATATAATTTGTGCATAGTTTTAATATATAGATATAGATACAGATATAGATATTGTGACCTGAGGGAAGGTTCTCCTCCATTGTGGAGAATATTTAGGGCTCTAGTCAGGATTATCTAGCCCTTGGGAATGGAAACAAAATCAGGTGTTGAACTGCACATCACCTCTGACCTCTGTTCTCATGCCTGCTCTTTGCAGAGTCAAATGGATTCATGTTTTTTAACTCACTGTTCAAAAACACCCTTTTTGCTCAACATGGTCGAGTTGGATTCCTGCTTCTATTGTCATATCTTTACTTAGACCCTGTTAAACAGAGAAAAGGTCAGAGTCCTAAGCACCCAACTGGGTCTTAGGCCTAGATCACTGAAGTCAAAAAGTCAAATTCAAAATTCAGCTCCTTGGTTTAGGAAAAAGTTCAGGTTTAAAGAAACTCAGTGTGAAGCCCATTCTGACAGAGAGGCCTTTGATAAATGTGCTTAAGAGATTTGAACTCTCTGTGCATCTTTCTAGTCTATGGCTGTACTCCTCCTGAATCCTGTCTGAAATCTCTAATGTTTGAAAGGAAAAGCATTCTTCCTCCTTCCTACAACACTAGGCTGACTTCATCCCAGCACAAACTATTTGATGCTTCGCCTTCTGCACAAATCTCTCCTTCACATTTAGCTGTCCATTTTTCCACATGGAAAACCTTTACTCCTTCAGGAGACTGGCTTCCCGAGCGCAGTGTGTCCCATAGACCTTGGATCACCAATGGACAGCACTGGCTACATCTAAGACATTACACTAGAATCTGTGTAATGTCTGTGTAAGGCATTCATTCTGACTGCACTGTGGGGCTTAGGATATGGATGGTAGAGCAAGCACTAAGGAGTTTGATCCTGGGAGACAGACAAGAGTATCCTCTGTGGGTTAACCACCTCAGCATTCTATTGTTTTTGTTTTGTTTTGTTTGGTTTGGTTTGGTTTGGTTTGGCTTTTTGTTTGTTTATTTGTTTTGATTTTGCTGTTTTCAATGAACACATTATGGCAATTTCATGTTGAATTAAAGTAAACTGAAGTTTAATTGAAGTAAAAATTATGATTAAACTAGAGATGAGAGGCACTTTGTTTATAGAAGGCATCTTTTCCTCCTTCTCCCTTTGTACTTTCACATCCCAGTTCATCACCCAAAATAGAGATTAAAGTGTATTCATTCTCCTTAGTAAGTGTATCTGACCCAACTCAAACACAGGGAAGCATCCTCATCTTCACAAGTGATCAGGCTATTCAATCACACCAGGAAACGTGTAGCTCAGTCGTATCAAATAGCTAATGTAGGAAATGAGAGAATGTCAATATATAGTGACAAGTAAATGTAAAAATAACTCACCAATCTCAAAGCTCCCATTGATAAATCCAACTATAGATGTGGGGATATCGAATTGTCTCTCTATTTGTGTGAGCATGGAATTCATGTAAGTTCCTGATAGTGATTTGGATACAAAAGCCCATGTCAATGCCAACAGAAACATCTAGGAAGAAAACATGTAAGAAAAAGTGAGAGGCAATTTTCCCCCTTCTCTTCTTCATCAACACCCTCATTCTTCACAGTCCCATTGCAAGATTCATGAGTTTTGGTTTCATTCTTTTGTTCCATGTACCTTAACCAGAGCCACCAATGGAGACACTGGGTAAGAGCTAACCATTGGTGCCTGGTAAGGTCATTAGTGTGTTCATGATTGAAGGTCATTAAGGCCATCATATCCCCTGTCCAGGGACACTTTTCTTAATGATTATTTTCTAAACTTAAGAAGCAGGAGCTTCAGTTTGGCACTGTAGACCATTTGACCACCCTAACATTCTATACAGTTCTAAAGTCGGAGAAGTCTAATTCTTTTTAAACAATCACCTCTAAGTTTTGACTTATAAAACTCATGGTTTTAACATTTTCCCGTAAACTGCACACCAGTATATACTGTTGTTAAACTCCAAAGTAACTGTGCTGACTTGATCAGGAATGGCCCCATAAGTTCATAGACTTGAATGCCTGGCCACCATGTAGTAGCACTATTGGTAGCTGTGGTCTTGTTGGAGAAAATGTGTTATTGAGGTTGAGCTTTGAAGTTTCAGAAGCTCTAACTGGGCAGAGTGTCACTCTATTTCCATTGCCTGCAAACCTGAATGTAGAATTCTTGGATCCTTGTCTAGAACCATATCTTCACTATGCCCCAATGCTTCCCACCATGATGATTATGGGCTAAACCTCTGAGGCTATAAGCCAGCCCCAGCTCGGTGTTTTTCTTTATGAGTTGCAGTGGCCATGGTATGTCCACACAGCAATAGAAATCTTAACAAAGATAGTAACCAAAGAAAAACTTTGAGAAGTACAGTATATGGTATCTGATGATATTTCTTTATAAATGCTAATTATATTGGTAACTTACAATCACAATAGTCATCATTTTCCTAAGCTATGCTGGAGATGGGGCTCAGCAGTTAAGATCACTTTCTGCTCTTGCTGAGGACCTGTGTTCCATTCCTAGCGCCCGTCTGAATTAGACATAGACTTCTCTGACTTTAGAACTGTCTAAAATGTTAGGGTGGTCAAATGGTCCTAGGTGGTTTCAAAACCACCTACAACTCCAGTTCCAGGAGATCCAACACCTTCTTCTGGCCTCCAAGGACACCAGACACACAAGTGGGGCAACAACTTATATGGGGGAAAACATCCATATACATAAAATAAAACATAAATTTAAAGTAATTGAAATATGTTAAATTGGAGAAGATGGTAGGGATCAGGGACAGAGGAATTGCCTGGTGTGTGTGAGCATCTGGGTATAATCCCTCATGCCACTCGTATAGGATGGCAATGAAGGATGAGCACTCACCAACATACAGAGACATAGATGCACACAGAGAGGGATACACACACACATACAGGTTTCAGAATGATTTTTTATCTTAAGACATAGGACTTAAAACGTAGATGGAATGCACTAAAGTACAAACACGTTGTACAAGTTGTTCAAAGTGACACATCTAGTAGACATCTTTCAAAGGTTCAGGTCCAGGGGCTCTGGGCTCCTCAGAATGTGAGAATTGAAGGATAACTTGAAGGGCTGGGTGTCAGTATTTCATGCATCACTACAGGTAAAAACACACATCCCAGGGCTGAGTCTGTGGCCTCCTCTCTTTTACATTAGTGTATGGAGTCCACTACATGTGAATAAAGTAAGTGAGCTTGTGATTGATTGGATGGCTTACAGAAGAGCCTGGGAGGGGCTCTGCAGAGACTAGGGCAGTGCTCAGATTTCCTGGGTTAATACATGTTCACATAGGTGATTACACAAAGTTGCTTTTGGAACTATGAGAAGGACACCAGTCTCTAAACTACTGAAAACCAACCAAAACAACTAACAGAATGGACTTTTTTTTTTATTACAAAACAATTACGGTATTGTTGTCAAAGCTTGAAGAAAATATTTGTCTGACTTGATCATGAACTCATTTTTGCTTATTAATCAACACAGAACCTCTGTTGGAGACCTGTTTCCTAGCTGTGACCCCTGACCTTCTGTTGGGAACGCCTGAGGGCTCCCACTGGATTGACCTCTGACTTCAGACTAAATTCCAGCACAGTATAATTCACACCTAAAACATTTTAAACCCCATGCTCCTTTAAAGCCTTCTAAATCAGTGTTTCTCAACCTTCCTATTACTGTGCACCTTAATACAGTACATCATGTTCTGTTGATCCCCAACCATAAAATTATTTTTAATTGCTATTTCATTACTGTAATTTTCCTACTGTGATGAATCATAAGGTAGATATCTGATAGGCAGAATATCTGATATGAGACTCCTGTGAATGAGTCATTCAACTCCTAAAGTCACGGTGACACACAGATAGAGAACCACTGCTCTAAATAATTCTTATGAAGTTTCCTGGATAAATTATCCTGGTCAGGCATCCCTAATTATAAAACCAATTTCTTTAAGGCTAGAAAATAACAAATTGGGTAAAATGGCTTTTCTGTTGGAAAGCTTCATGTAAGCTGAGCAATGTAGCAATGTTACACGAACTATTAAAGCTTTCTTCAAAGACTCTCATTCATACACACATGCATACATCAAACAATCCATACCTTGATCTTGGAGAAGCATCTCACCCCATGAGTTACAACTCCTTTCTCAGGTTCTGCCATGGTGTTCTTCTGATGGTTGCCAGATGCCTATGCTTTAAACGCCTTATTGCTGGCTTTGCAAGAGAACAGACATTGTTAATTAAAGTATTCACTGCACAAGTCATTAACAAAAACTCTCTTAGGACTGGGGTGTACCTTTTTAGAAAATATTTTTTTAAAGTTAATTCTTTACTGAGTCTTTGGGAATTTTACAACATGTACCCCCAGTGCTGCCTATTGCCAGTCACTCCATATCTGCCCTTCAACCTTGCACCATACCCCCAAGAAATTAATTTTAAAAATACGCTGCTTTTCCATCTTTCTAACACCTCTTCATTCACCCTAGTAGCATAAGGAGCCGTGGTGTATCGGGCAGTATACACTTTTGTCCAATAAGCCTCACTAATGAAATGTTCATTTTTTGGTTTTGTCTTTTTTATTTATTCTTTGTGTCTTTTATAGAATGCCTATTGGTTCCATCCATATCCCACCCCACCACAGAATGAAATATAATAGGAAAAGAGGAGGAAAAATAAAGAAGGGAGAAATCTCATCATGGAAGCTACAGTGTGACACAGTGAGTCCCACAGTAAACCCTTTTATCCATATATTTTTACATGCATGTATTTATCAAAAGAAAAAAATCATTGATCTGGTTTGAGGCCCTTGATCTCTGACATACCAGTGACACTTAGTCCCTCACTGGGACTCTTCCTGGACATCCTGTTGCTATCCTGTGTCCTGGAGATCCTGCAACCCTGGGTCCAACAGACTGACATCCCCACCCCACTCCCACTCCCAGGCTCCAGTAGATCACATATGGGGTGGATGTTGGGGTGATCCTGGGCTTAGGTAGTAGCATGGTTGGTCAGCCCGCCAGCTCTCCCCTGTCTTAGCCACCATCTGCAGAGGTGAAGGAGATGAGGGGTAGGCTGAGGGTGGCTTCACTGCCACTCGGAACAGTGATCATTACTTTTTAATGAGACATTGGTCTGGCTCAAGGCCTCTGACACATCACTATCACTGGACCCTCACTAAATCTTCTCTCAGATATCCTGCTGATACCCCAAGACATGGGGAAGCTGTGGTTATTTTTCTGCAAGATCAGTCCCTTCACACACTTCACCATGTCATAGATGGGTAGATGTCAGGATAGGCCAACTCAAGGCCCAGGATGTGGATCTGGGTGGTAGCTGAGCTGGTTGGTCCAGGTCTCTGGACCCAGTCTCCTCACATGAGAGGCAGAGGCAGCTCTCCCATGCCCATGGTGAGGTGGGGGCATCTCTCCCAAGCATGGGAGTGGAGTGGGGGAGGCATCATGGGGGAATGGGACAAGCTCTCCTGCTGTAATGTCCAGCTAGGAGCAGGGCCAGATATCCCAGGACCAGTAAAGGACGTGTGTGTGTATGTGTGTGTAAACCCTATACACAAACATATACACTGGTCTCTCTCTCTCTGTTTCTCTCTCTCTCTCTCTCTCTCTCTCTCTCTCTCTCTCTCTCTCTTACACACACACACACACACACACACCACTTGAAAAGAAACAATTTAACCAGTACGCTGAATGTTATAATAAAATTTTCTAGGAAGTTCTTTATTCTGGCTGATCTTGAAAATGATGCCATAGGAAAAGATTTGGTTTGGTTTGTTTGATTTCTATAGAAAAAGCCAATGCAAATAACTATAGTTAGTCTTTGGTGATATTAAAGATAGTCTCAGAACTTGTTAGGTTCTGTCCTTAAGCTAATGACAGTATTGTTAAAATAAAGCTTTTGATTCTTTAGCAAAGAAAATAGACCCTGGTGATGCCCTTTGAACTCACTTGAAGAATGCTGTCTTTAAGAACATGAAGACATCCGTTGTGTTCGTTCACAACCTCTGCCTCACTGAGCCAACTAAAGATGTTTGGCCAGGCTTCCTTCTCAAGGTCTTTACACTCCTAGACTTCCCTGGTGTCTCAAAAAGAGTAAAAGTTTTCTGGTCAACTGCTGATTCACAGAAACCTGGAGAGATACAGAAATTTAGTCAAGAAAGTAAAAACAACAACAACAAAAAAATAAGTCTACAATTGGGGACAAATCCAGCACATCCAGGTTTAAAAAATGTAGGGTTTAGGAAAGGAACAGATATGTAAACAAAGAACTATGCATGGTTATTTATGACCTATATGTTATGTATGGACAAAAAATGTCCCTCCCTGTAAAAAATATATGTAGTATTAGTATTTATATGCAATTAATAAAAGTGACTTGTGTTCCATTCACAAGTACTAGCCTCGTCAATCTACCTAGTCTGTGTCTTAAAAGTAGAGTAGTTTTCATCACCACCAAAATATTTTAATTTCACATTTATTCAAGATAACCTATTTCAACATACTTGGACAATTTCTCAGCTGTATCCACAGCTCTAATTTATAAATACCCTGTAAACAACATCCATTTAACAAATAATCCAGAATAGCTCTAAGTTTATAGACGTATACGTTTAAAATGTTTGCCAAAGTTCCAAATATCAGTCACAACAGGGTAATTATGTATGACCATAGTTCCAGATACAGCCCTGTGGTGCAATGAATAGTACTGAACACTAATATGTGCCAGTCACAGCATGAAGCACCAACATTGAACAAAGAACAAGAAAAGCTTCCTGTGTATAGAGAAGTGAAGTTCTTTTAGACGCCTCAGACCACACAGAAAGCTACTGGTACCCAGATTCCTAGGAACCTATGCTTCTCCTAGAAAGGATAAAATTTCCAGTAAATAAATATAAATAAATAAAGGCACACTGGGATAGAATAGGACCATATATGCTGAGGCACAGCATACTTCTTATGAGGGAAATAGGAAAGAAAATTCATAGGACATGGATGAAAATTATAGGAACTGTCTAAGCAGTTATGAACAGACACAGGAATGAAACCCCTGACTCAAAACTTCAAGACCACTTAACTTCCGGAGAGGACCTGATACTGGTGGTGGAAAGAATGGCAGAAGGGATGGATTTCCAGTAAAGAGGAGACTCCCATGATTTAAATCTACACCAAATATAGATGAACATCCACCTCTCAGTTCTCCTCACCTGCCTCTCTTTTCCTCATCCACAGTACAATCTTTCATCAGTTTTCTCTTTCTTGTCTTTTCTCCCTGTACATCCCTGAGCCCAGGGTGATCTCCCCACCCATCCCTAAGAGGACTTACTCTTCTCCCATGTGAAAGCCATATTCACTTTTCCTTAGTGGCTTAAAACATAACCATTCTCAATATCTACTCTTCTTTTTCTAGCCAAAAGAAGCCTGAGTTAACACCCAGAAGATCACTGGATGTCTCCTCCCGTGCACACTAAGTAATGATCTGGATAGCTTTTATCATTGCCTTGAAGATTCCTTTCAAAATGCTTTTGCACTGTCAGAGAAGTTTTACAAACAAGGGCCTTGACTGTACCAACATTTTCTGTGTAAAACATTATATCCTTTCAGATGCATTTTAAACATTTTCCATAGAGGAAAAGAGACAAAGCAATATCTGTTTCATTGATTCAACAAAACCTTTGTAACCCAATGCTGAATCATGTAACAGTCCCCTGTTGAACACTTTGAACCTAAATGAGAAATGTACACAGAGTAAGGGGTAGTCACATGAACAGTGTGCCTTTGTTAGCACAGCATTGTTTAAACAGTGCTTCTGTCCCCAAGATTACACAGTGTCACAGACAAATATGCATCACTCATCAGTGCTCGTGAAAACCGAATGTTACACTTTTACTAAGCAGACAACACAGTCATGTCTCTGTTTCTTTAGCACCCAAATGAGGTGTGGGAACACACCACTCTGGTTCTCAGGCAAAAGAGTCCACAGTCTGAATCATTTTGCATTGTTTGTGTTATTGTAAAGATGTATGACAGTATGTCTGCTCTCCCAAGCATTTTAAGAGTACAGTGCAGAATTGCTAAGTATGTGGGTGAGCGTACCATAAAGCCGATCTCTAGAACAGTAACTACCCTGTAGTACTGATACCCTATACACACTGAGTAGCAACCCTGATCAGGGGAGACCCTTTGACTGATGGTCTTTAATGACATTTCAATCCCAGGGGAATACAACTCTGTACATGGTGAATAAAGACACTCACTCATGCTCAGTATCCACACAGTTTGCAATTATCAGTACATGCATACTGTTCATTCCCCCTTACTCTGTACTATTGAATTGATGAATCAAAGATTTTGCTTTACCATGGTCAAGCAAATAATACATACATGAGGAAGCCTTAGGAGACGGTCCTCTCCCTGGAGAGGGAAGAAAAAGTAATAGCAGCAAAAATCTAATGAAAAACACCTTATTCTGGAATCCTCAAATTGTCTCTGCTAGAGGCAGCCTATTAGGTGCTGTCCAGTTGAAATGCTTTCAACCGATACCAAGCCAAGAAAGGGCGTGGAGAATCAACAATGACTTCTTGTTTGATTCCCAGCAAATCATTTTACTTTGGTCAGCTTTCTCCGGTCATAAATCAAAAAAAAAAAATACTGAATTCCACCTGTTAAGGCTAAACACTTTTATTTCCTACATTCAATATACCTGGATGTGCTGCTCTAGAGAAAATTTAACCAGACATCAAGAGCATTACCCATTCATGTGGTTTTACGACGAAAAAGAAGGCTGGAACACAGACAAACCCTTCACCCACAATCTAGCCAGTTTGTGACTTTGGATGTGTTCTAAGTCTAGACTGAGAGGCAAGCAGAATTAGACATTCAAAACTTGAGTTCTGCCTTTCACAGAGCCACCTGTGATGCCGTTGTGTCATCAGTGGCATTTCCTGTACCACACAGACCTAGAGAATGAAGAGATGATTGCAGGAGATGCAGTTCCCACACGTGAGACTCTTGTTTTGACCTAGGTCTCACCATGCAGCTTTAAGCCCCCTAATGCACAGTCCTGTTGAGCCCATACTTCCTAGCTAAAGCAAGAATCAGGCCAAGCCACTACAGAGAGTGCTCCCTCTTGATACCCAGTTGTTCAATGTTTGTTCCCCCTCTGCATCATTGCCGTCCCCTCATCATTGCCAGCAAAAATTGTCAGGTTGTCATACCTAGCACTAGAACAGCTAGCATGACGTTTCCTCTTGATGGCATTCCCCCACCCTCCTTGTCTGCAAGTTCCCACTGATCTCCACTGCATCCAGAACTGCACCCCCATCTAGACTGAAGCATTCTCTGCAGTTGCTGCAATTCCTGAAGAAAACTTGCCTTTCACCGCTCACTATCAAAACTAGCTTTTCTCTGAGAGCAGTGTAATGGGAATTACAATTTCTTCAGGTTGTCTCAATTATTCCCTTCCTTTTATCTGCATGGGCAAAGTTTGAGAGACAAAAGTAGGTATTTCTACTTAATCTTGTGGAAGGAAATAGTTGAGCTTTTTCTCACACAGAGAAAGAGTTTACCTCTTTTCATGTACCCCTCATATCTGGAAATACAACAAAACCCCAGGGTTTCCCCTAATCCATTTATGTGTACATTTTCTCATTCACATCCTATAAAGGAGAAGACAGCTGGAGGGTGTCAGGTGTGAGACACCATTGTGAATTTAATCCCAGATATGTTGACTTATCTATATGAATTTTTAGCCTGTTTATATTGAAGAATAGGAATATTTATGTCTATCCTGCAAGACTGCTATTAAGAATGAACTGTATAACTCCCATCAGCACCCTCACGGGGGGCTGGGGTTAAAGAGTCAATCTGTCAATGACAGTGAATATTATTCATTCACTCCACAAATGTTTATTAAGGCTTTACTAAGTTCCCAGCACAGTTGTAGGTGTTAGGGATCTGAAGAGGAAGAAGATGAAGCTTGTCCTTACTCTCAAGAGGTCTCAGAAGCTACGGGAGAGACAGATCATTAACTGGCAATTGGTAGTTATTGACATGATGCAGTCAATGTCAGAGGAAAAAGAAATATTAATTAGAACCATTCTCATGTCTGTGTCATCTGGGTGCAGTATAATAGTGTAGCTGCTTATGCTTTAAATTAAGTACAAGTTTGAAGATATGTTTGCAAACTGTCTCCATGCTTTGGGACAGACCACTCAATTTTTCTAACCACAAATGAAAACAGCCTCTATTGTTCTCAAAGTTGTGGATGCCAGAAAAATGCAGGCCCCTTTCCACCTTGTCTGAAGGTCAGAGAGTTTGAAGACTAACAGGCTTAATTGCACGGTCTAACTCAGGAGGTGGTTGCCTAGCTCTTTTGAAGTTAAGGTAGCTTGGTGCCATCTTGACAGGTGGTCAGGATATGCAGGTGTGCTTCTGCTCCTTTCTTTTGTAACTATGAGGTCACCTAGGGAAGGGGGATCTTCAGTATACTTGACCTAGAGTACATGACTGGGGCACCTGCTACCCAAACAACAGAATGCTGATGATTGTGTGTCTCAGAGTTGACTGTGTGAGTTAACCTTTTGTACCATGTTAATCGAGTCTTTTCTTACCTTCTCCCCCAGTTCATATTGGGTATAAAAGCTGTGGGAAAATAAATGCAGGGATTTCAGGGTTTCAGTAATCCCTGAAATACCCTCCCAATACTGTCTTACGTTTTCTGACTTATTATTTTTATTGTCTGCATATTCTTTACTTACATTTCTTTATTTCCAATGCCCCTACACTGATAAGTAGTTTTGTCAAGGCCCGTCCTCAATATATGTTGCCCAACATGGGGCACAAACCTATGACCCTGGATGAGAAAATAGAATTCATGACAGATACCAAAATAATTTAATGTGAGAAAATAGTCACAAAGGCACAAGAAGAATTAGAAAGCAGGTTAAAGGCCATGTCGGAAAGGGAAAGAGCTGAAATGCACAGACTAGAGTCCTCAAGGTCATAAAGCCACCACGAGAAACTACAAAAGCCCTGGTATTTCCCCCTTCTCCACAAGCCCAATGTCACGCAAATATTTTCTAATAACACAACCTAACAGAGTTTTATGAACAGGGATATTTAGTCTTCCGC